AATTCTATATATGCAAGAAGGAACTAGCAGATGACAGCGAAATTTTAAAAACACTCCCGTTGTTTTAACAAAGAAACTACCCATTTTGGACCCAAAACCATCCATAAAAAATTGATTTCTCTATATATATATACTATATATATATATGTCATTTAAACACACTTATATTAAACCTGCATATAAGGCACATATTTAAATAAAAATAATATATAAATATCAAACTTAATGTCAATTTATTTTGATTATCCTATAAAATAGTGCACAATGAGTGCTTCATATAAAATAACAGAGCTTATATATATATATATATATATATATATATATATATATAACATTTGGATGTTTTGTTATATTATTATGCTCTTTATATATATATATATATATATACACACACACATTCACATACATACATAAATGTACATATATATGCCTTTATATATATATATATTTCATCAAATTTTTTGAAGTTTGTATGTGATTTCTAGATCTGCAAAGGTAATTAGGATAACCATTTGCATGTTTATATATATATATATATAAATATGTGAGAGATATAGAGAATATATATATATTTGAACTTTTATATACTTCAATGAATTTTCCATTGATGTTTTGAAATAGGGCAAAACAAAAGAGAATCCGAACATTAAAAGAGGATCAATGATTCTCTAAAGATTTGTTTGTTTTAGTTAGACCAACAACATATTGATTAGAAATTGATTTTTTGAAATAACATATAAAAAACACACTTATACTAATATAATGGCCATCTTCCCCTTAGACTCAAATATCACGCATTCATAATTTCTTCCAATCCTTCTCCAGGCCTTACAATAAAAGATGGAGTATTTGGTGACAGTGGAACAATCAGTACTATTCATCTATTTTCTGAACATCCAGAATCTTAGCTGGGCAGCAGATATTTTATAGTGATTTATTAAGTGTAGCTTAGATGTGGCACAAAGCCGAAAGTATAAGTCACCTAGTGAAGATCAAACTCACTATTCAGTTGTAATTGATCTAGTGACAGACTTGCTACTCATTACGCAACATTGAATTGTCTACAGCAGATAAGAGTTTAATATTTGGAAAAAAGTAGTTTTTGTTTTAAAAAAAAAAAAAAAATCTCTCAGCACCTGACTTTGCCCAAAGACCTTGGCATGTTGACTGCATTTCTTAAGGCAATATTAGATTCCCATCATTGTTTTATACGTTAATAAAGAAAAAACAACTCAGCTTTCTCCGTTTTTTTTTTTTATTAGATTACCTTTTCATTTGCATTTTTATAGAATATTCAGACAACTGCCATTTAGTATTTTATTCTTTATTAAACAAATCTATTCATTTTTCAACAGTATTTTTTTAATAATGCAAGTCATCATGATAAATGAAAATATAACTGCTAATAATGTAAGTACTTATATATATATATATATATATATATACACACACACACACACACACACACAATAGGTTCATTTTTTTTTTTTATTACAGAGTGATTAAGCAAGGCAGTTCAGGTAGAGGAGATTAAACAATGACTTAGGATTGTTGGGAAGAAGGTTACTTATAGAGGTGGTAACTATGGGATAACTTATGGAAGTAGGTAGTTGCATATTTTCCGCTAAGCAGACAATGGGGAAGTAAGGTATGACTCCTATTAGAAAGTTCAATTAACATAAATACAGAAAAATCAGTTAATACATACTCATATTTTTGCTTGCTTAAGTAAGTAATGACACAGATACATACTTATATCCAGAAATGAAATTGTCATAATAGAATGGATCAATAAATTTGTAGCTTGACACAGTTATTGGCTGAATTTTGTGTGTAAAATAAATAGCACATGGACATAGCTTATGAGAAGCATTAATTAAGAGAAAATACATGGTGGAGTTGGGATCGCATAGACATAGCTCAAGGGATAGAAATGCAAATTTTAGGAGGAAACAATCCAAAGAGCATGAAGATGCAAGTGCTAAGTGCAGCATGTATGAGAGATAATGTGTGTTGCTCTCTGAGAATAAGTGTATTTTTCCACATCGCTACCAAATGTGACATAAGGTCAGTTTAAAGTGGGTGCTCTTGTAGAATAAAATTCAACAATATTCTAGAATAAAACAGACACCTGAAATATTGTGAAGAGAAAAACAAACTTAGTCCAAATCAAATACTATAAGGAATAAATGCTTTTTTTTCATTGTTAGGTTACAGAGTTTTTTTATGTTTCATCTGTAACTAAACGTTCTCCATTCACTTATATATGTATATCTGAGGATGATACATTTATATATTTACACCAGTTTCCAGATCGTTGATGTTTTTATGATATTGTTTCAGCTAATATATCCTTCATCCTTCTTCTGAGTACACCAGAAAAAGCATTATGGCAACAAAGACGAAGAAATTGACCCAAATGAGTAAATGTATAATCGTAAAAGTGACTCATCTCAGAAATTCAAACAGAAAACTACACTGAAATACTTACCCTGGTTTCCCTGAGTCTGTACAACCCAGTCTAGATAAAGGATTGAATTTATAATTACTATGCCATAAGACAATAACCTAGTGGATTAAAATGTCAGTTTGTGAATTTGGTGGCATAGTAATTATGAGTTCAATCCCAAGTAGAGAATCAAACTCCGTGGAAACAGGGCAAGCAATAAATGAGCTTTTCTAAAAAGAAAAAGACATAACAACTCTGGATATGGACAGTGAAATGAGAACAATCAACCCCTGTAGATTAAATAAAGGGTTAATTTTAAAATTCCTTGAAGATTATCCAGATCAACACCTGAAGAAAGCTGGAGTGCACCTTGTGATAAAAACAACAAAGATGATGATATTAGTCCGAATATAAATAATGATAACTCCTCATCCTAGAAATTCAGACATAATCTCATAGAGTCTTCTCAAAATGCATAAAAAATGATTTTATTCATAATACGCTGTCAAATGAGAGACATGTGCGCAAGGAAAAACAAAATGTCAATCTAATATATAAAATATTTGGCATATGGAAATGCGGTCCAATTTGTATGTTGGAGAGGGTACTGAACAAAAATCAGCCACAGACCAAAAAAAAAATAGAAAGAAAACAAATCATCTAACAAAAAGAGTAAGAGAGAAAGAAAGAAAATAAAAACTTTGCAGCTGAACCCAAGTATACTGGAGTGACATTAAGATAGTATCAGCAGCAGTTCTAAAATAAAATTCATATCAGCAGCAGCTTAAAGATAGTAGCAGTAGCAGCTCTAAATAAACATTGTATCAGCAGCAGCTCTCAAATCTAAAAACGTGTGAAATCTAAAGTAACTCTTCTTTTCCAGATTTTCTCTTTCAAACTGTTGACATGAACTTTCCATGCTGAAGCTACAAGGGCTGTGAATGCTTCACATAAAACACACCAACAAAGTTCCCACTATAACATATTAATGAACATTTTCTTCTGTATACAATTTATGTTTAACAAAAGAAACTTGTTTTAAACTTTCCTTTTTGTTAATTCTGTTTTAATAATAAAATTAATTGGTTTGTTATTTGTCCATGTATTCTTCCTCACTACCTTTATTTCATATACTATAAAATGTTCCTGTAAGAAACCTTACGTTTTTAATTATTGAAGTAGCTAATTACTAAAATATGATCATAATCAACTTTTCTGATAGTATATCTTTCATCTTAATTTCATTTATCTTTTATCAAAACTCCTAGGCAATCATTCTCCCTGGCTGCTAGTAAATAGTGTGCCTAAATATTACAAGCATCTGATGAGATTTGAATCACATTTTTCTCAACCCAGTGCAACAGTTGACTTACTGACTTGAGCATATAACTTCCCAGATATAATCATTGAAATCTAACCATACTGCCATTCCTTATATCAGGGGTCGGTAACCTTTTGCTAACTATGTGCTAACTTAGTGTTTTAAAATCACTCATTGTGCCAACAGCATACGTATTTTTATACAAGGTCAATAAATAACTGTTCTACAATATATTTTATATAGTATATATAATTTAGTATATATTAAAATTGAAACAGCTGAATAGCTTCTTTGCATTGTAGTAGTTATTGGTCTGGACTTTGTGATGTCATGTGCAGCTGCGTGCCATTGGTTGCCGACCCCTGCCCTATATTCCCAACTCCTAAAATGACAACCTGAGAGTTTGCAATAAAAAACTGAAATTAAGACAGAAGTATTAATTGAAAAATTCATAAACACTGACAATGTTTCATCTAAAAAAATAAAAATTACCAAGTACACAAAATTTAACATCTATCTTTGAACTGACACATATTGTTAGTGATTTGAATCAAGTAAAAATAACTGTTTTCCTGAATATAAAATTTTGTTAATTTCATTTTTAAGATAACTAGTTTAGCGAAGTAGGCTTACAAAAAGAGGGAGATATTAGGATTATACGTTATTTTGAAGCCTATAGTAACAACTCTTCTCAGTTAGGTAGCTGTACATTAAACTTCATTTTTTTAGTTACAGAAAACAAGCATGAAAAGTATTATGCTATTTATAATAAGAAATACAATGAAGCTCAACTGAGATATTTTACAACAGAAAGATGCTTGTTAGAATAGAGTCAAGTATGAAATCATCAAAATTTAATTTTGTAACATTAGGACATTTTCTAAGAGTTTTTCCTACTTTTATTTATATCATAATGATGATTTTAAATTCATCTACTACAAACTGCAAAAGTTTAAGAGTCTTTGAGAATATCAGACATACTTAAGAAATAGTCATAGAAATTCAATCTCATGGAAATATAATGTTTACATTCTCAAAAAAAAAAAAATAATAATAATACAATTTTAGTGTTCAGAAAGCAATGTAAAATAGTTAAAACTGTATCAAACATTTTCTGCTTGTTAATCAAGTATCAGTTACTCATAAAAATATTTTGGAATTATTTTCATCTTTTTTTGTTGAGAGGAAAAGATTGCGAAAAATTAGTAAAAAAAATATATTTTTACTTACTATTTTCATTTGACACACGTTTCCTCTTCCGTAGAAATGGTTCATGAAACACCTCATAGAGGCGTTGTGCCTAGGATTAAAGAAGAAAAAAAATACTGCTAACTCCAAATAATCTACATAATCGAAATCCTTAAAGCTGGAATAAAATAATTCAAATTAATAGATGCTAGATAGTTTGTTGCACAAAATAAAAAAGTATTTATAAAAACGTTTTCCTTTATGAAAGTAATAAATTCTGCATATAGAAATATCAGATGACAAAATTTTTTTCTTAATCATTTCATCCCAAGCAAGGCAATAAAGCCACTAAGTCACAAGAGGTTTATTGAACATGGGAGAATATGAGCAAACATTATTAAGGTGTGAGAACAATAAAAGGACAGAAATTTAAGAAGACAGACGATAACGATTGACATTTCATTTAAATTATTGAAGATCAAAGTTGACTGGAAAGCAAGAATCTGGAAGAGTGCTCCACAAGTGAGAAGTGCAAGAGAAGAAACTGTTAGCATAGAACTTACAGTTACATCTAGCAATTTCAACTGTAAAATGATGAGACCTTGCCACCAATCTAGTACTTAAATTCATAAGCACTAGGTACCAAAGAGGAAAGCTCATCATAATAATTACCATAAAAATATTTATAGAACAGGCACAGGGAAGCTACATTACAGCATTGGGAAAGTGCTAAATGAAATAACTACTAAGAATGATAATTTAAGGCAATGATAAGAAAATAAACAGGTAGTATTTTGTAGTGTAAAAATATTAAAGGATCATTTTTTTTAATGTCAAGATATATAAACAAACAGATGAAGTGTATTGGCAATGCTGTGCCATCTGCCAAGAGAAAAAAAAAACTGAAAACTGTGCCATCTGCCATGAGGTAAAGGACTGAAGACGGTGCCATCTGGCAGCAACCAGTGATTAGACACTTCAATAATTATAGTTATCGTAAGGGAATATAAGGAAAACAGTTCTGGGACAACTTTTGTACTTTTTCTTTTTTCTTTTTTGTTCAATGGAACTTACAGCTGGTCAATTTGTCAGCATTGGACATTTATGCTTTTTTTTCAGCAGATGTTTTGGCTGAAATATTTAACACAGCTGGATATTTTTTTTAGTTGGTCATTTTTTTTTTTTTTTACTAAATCAACTTTGCTACATGGAGCTAACAAAGTGGTTATAACTAGTTAAGAAAGAGTTTTAAAACATAAAACCTTTTGTGGGCTTAGCTCAAGAGTTAATGAAAAATTTTCTAAAATCTTGTGACTAATAAAAAAATTCAGTTTATCTGTCTTTAATGAATTCAGTAAAGTTCATAGGAGCACACTATGCTAAACTATTCCATTTTTGTTATCTTTTGTTTTCAGTTAGATTTAATTTTCATAGAGTTCCATTTCTTTTTTCATAAATTATAGTTGAGATAAAAGAAAAAAAATTGTCCAATAGCTTAATTATGGAAATATTTACAAAAAGAAATTTCATTTTATCTTATGGTTAAAATTCAGTTTTGAAAAACAACAGTTTTAGATTTTTTTTGCCATATGTAAAAGTCAATAGTCATGACTATACTGACCATTTTGACTAACACCTGAAGAAGGCCAGAGAACACAATGACCAAAACATTTTGATAACAAAGATGAGGACATTAGTTTGAATGTAAGTAATATAAATAACTATATTGACTTATTTGTGTGTTCATCCATTGTTGATAATGTGTGTATACTAATTATTTTGCTACAAAAGAGTAAAAATATATACACTAGAATCAGTTCTGTTGGGAAACTGAACCAACTTTAAACACACACACATATACACACAAAAGTAATTATAAATTTTCCTTAATAATATTTTAAAATCAAAATGTGATGTATTTACTAAAAATAAAGAATATTAAATGACCAATTATTTCTATATATATACTTTGTTATATTTTATAGAAGTGAAAGTTCTTTAAAGTTTTTCAAAGTTGCCAATTGATGAGTTCAGCCTGGTTTCATTTATCAAGGCTCATAGCAAAGTAAATATATAATTGAACAAACCTCCCCCGTGAAAATAAAGATAATCATGTTGATTTTACAATTAAAGGAATAACTCAGGGATAATCAATAAGAAAAACTTTTTATACTTGTCAAACCCTATAATTTTTTTTCCTTATATTTGTTGATATAATGTTAAAAAAGAACTTTCAATAAAATAGAACTTAATTTCAATGACTTCTGCTTTGAAATTGAATACAATAACAGGATGTTCACTTTGAGAATATGCAGAGAATGTGAAAAGGATCTGAGATAGAGTAAAAATTCTTGAGTTCCCCTACTGATTTTGGATAAAATAACTGAGACACACGGTCAATAGCTGACTTTTCAAAGAAGTAGAGCGTTGAATTTCTATGACAGAAGACCAGACCCTCTACCAATAAATGATCAAAGACATGATGAAGTTTCATATTTCCTGAAATATTGATTTTTTTAATGCAATGGATTATGCTATTAAACTGTTTAAAATGAATCGAATGATAATGAAATAACATAGTTGATGCTAACATCATTATGATGATTACAATCAGTTTATACTAATAATAAAGAAAAGAAAATGTATGGTTGTTTAGCAAAAGAAACATCCCAACATGCAAATCACAAATTGGAGATATCAAAATCAAACAAGTACAACAATTTAAATATCCAGGAAGTGGTTTTAACAAAGGACAGAAAGTGCGATACTGAAATCCAAAGAAACATTGGATAGTGAAAGATATATTCCAAAAGCTAAGCAAAGTATTAAGAAACAGGAAAAAAATTGTTAGAAATAAAGAAAAGCGTTGTAAACAACAGTTCTCCTATATGATAATGAATGCTTGACAATCTCCTGAATAATAATAATAATAATGATAATGAAGAAGAGACTTGAAGCAAAAGAAATGTGATTATACAGAATGATGCTGATATCATGGACCAAACACGTGAGCAACAACAAAGTTTTAGAGAAAATGGAAACAAGGACTTTTATACCTGCTAACAGGAAAAAAAGTTGAAATTTCTAGGGCACATAATAAGGAAATGGGGCTTGGAAAATTTGCTACTTACAGGACAGATTGAAGGTAAGAGAGGCAAAGGAAAATGCACACCCTACCTAGCAAGCTTCAGTAAATGGATGGCAGAATAAAGTTTAGGAGAGTTAACAAAAAACAACATTTATCAAGAGCTACAAAGGACAGGAAATTGTAGTGAGCCAAGATCAATGTCCTGAAGGGACACAGCACACAGAAAAAAGAATCCCTATCATAATGAGATCAATGGCCACATAAATGATGATGACAATAAAATATTAGCAAAATTGCAATGATGATATAATAATGAGAAAGCTAGGATAGAAATGATGATGAAAAAGACAGCTTCATAACAATAAAAAGGAGGTTGGGAGAATAAAAACGATGACAAGGGCAGCAACATGACACTACAAATGATGTTAGAATAATAAAGATGATGTCAAAGACGGCCATAACAGGTTGATTTTAAAGAAAAGGTTGAGATAATAATGTTGATAACAATGGCAATATTAATGTTTATTAGAAGCAGATTGGGAAAATAAAAATGACCATGACTGCTTTATACATGATGATAACAAAGCAATGGTTGTGGAAATAAAGATTTTTACAGTAGGTGCCATAACACTGATAAAGAAAGTGTTTGGGATAATAAAGTTAATGATAATGATAGAAATGTGACAATACAAAGAAGGTTGGAATAATAATGACGACATGGGCAACAACATGATAATAAGGATTAGATAAAAAAGATAATATTTACTCATATATAATACTAAGCTTCTATATACAATACAACAATATGGTGTGTGTGTGAGTGTATGTATATATATATATATATATATATATATATATATATATACATGCAGTTGTGAACAAAATTATTTGCCTCCACTAAATATTTGCATGTTTTCTAAGGAAATGCAAATATTTGCAAGTAGTTACTGAATTTACCATAATTAGTTGATTTTGTATTTAGTTTTGAATAATTCATGAAATTTTTAGAAGTTTTGATCTATTATATTCATAATTTTAAAGTTTTCTAAAAATTGGTGCAGTCCAAAATTATTCACCCTCTTATGGAAATTATGGAATAATATTGCTCTATGACAATTGTAATATTTTTTCTTAATTTGACAATTAATACAAACACTCTTTGAAAATCAAATAGTATTGACCTGATTCTATAACATTCTAAAAGGTGATAAAGAAAACAATATGTGAGTGCTATGTACTGCAATAACTCATTCATTCAGCAACCATGGCAAAGAAAGCTTAACTTGACAAGAAGCTCTGAATGAAGATAGTTGATGCATACAAAATGATGGATATACAACACTTTCCAAGCATTTAAATGTTCCTAGATTGACAATTTATAGCACTATCAAGAAGTACAACAAGACTTGTTGTGTTGAGAATAAATTAAGAACTGGCAGAAAATGGTTAATTTTTGAGAGAATGGAAAGGAAAATTGTTAGAGATGTCTTGAAGAATCTTCACTTAATGACAAACGACATTGTCAATGATGTAAAGACATCTGGGTTGACTGTATCAATGAAGACAGTCACTAGATGTTTTCATTGAGCAGGATTTCAGGATTGTCACCCAAGGAAAACTCCTTTGCTTGAGGCTAAATGGCTAAAGATTAGCTTATGCTAGAAGCCATCTAGAACATGAGGGTAAATATAGGAACTCTGTTTTATGATTAGATGAAACCAAACTAGAATTATTTAGTCACATATACTCTCATCGTATAGGGAGAAAAGTGAATGAACCTCACAAAGCAAAAAATACTCTCATCACAATTAAGCATGGTGGTGGAAGCATTCTGCACTGGGTATATTTTGCTGCTTCTTGACCAGGAGAACAAGTGAGAGTACAGGGTATCATGGATAAAAAGTAGCATTTGGCTATTCTTAAAAATAATATAAAACAAAGCTGTCTTTGTGGTGTCAGTGGATGTTTCAACACAACAATGACCTGAAATACACTGCACGAATGGTTACAAAATACTTAGATGACAGCAAAATTAAGGTATTGGTGTACCCCACCTGATCTAAACCCCATTATAAATTTATAGGCATATTTGAAGAAAAAAGAAAAAGAAAGAAGTCCTTTGAATTTGGAGGAATTTGAAGCTATTGTCAAGGAAGAATGGAGCAAAATACCTATCAGTGTGTTAGTGGCCTTGTAAAGAACTATCAAAAATGATTAAAGGTAATAATCAAGGATAAAGGTTACACAATTTATTATTATTGTATTAATTATATAGAAGATGAACTATTGAAAGTTAGAGAGTTGTGTCCCTTTAATTGAAAAAAACCGTGACAGTGACACAATGAGATTCAAGATTTTATATATATATATATATATATATATATATATATATATATATATATATATATATTAAAAATATATGACAAACTGGAAAAGTTTTTGTGACACATTTCATCCAGTTTGTCATATTTTTTCTAAATACAGTTTGTTGATATATAAAATTATATATATATATATATATATATATATAAAAGTGAACATAGAAGTCAACACTTAAAGACCGACAGTCTGTTTCATGCTATATGCAATTGTCAGGCCTGATAATGTATATAGCATGAAACAGACTGTCAGTTCTAAAAACAACTTTTATGTTCACTTTTATATTTACACACACTCTATCTCTGATACTGAGCACTTTATTCCATAAATATAGCACATCTTAAGACTATATTTCTTCATATATATATATATATATATATATATATATATATATATAAAAAAAACTTCAAACATTATTTTTTTAGTAGTAGTATTTATTTTATTTACCAGGCTGTGTACTCAAGAAAACTTAATAAAGAAAATGTACTCTTCGGCAGGATTCAAGCCTGTATCCCCTTTTGCAGGAGGAACCACCATCTGTTCCAGTATGTTTTGACCGCTCAGCTACAAAGAGCTTCACAATAAAACAATGTTTTAGTTTGCCTTTCAAGCATACTCCCTCATTCAGATCTTTCTTGAAACTTGTATCTGCTCAGTTTCATATCCAAAATGTATAAAAAGCAATTTCTAAAGAATGGATTTTTTTTTTTAATCAGACATATTTTTATACTTCAAACATTATTTTTGGTGAATACCAATATCTGATTACATGCTCTGTTTATTTTAAATAGTATTTATTTTGTAACATTTGAATTAATAAAAATATGTTAGATTAAAAAAATAAAATCCATTAATTCTTATACATATATAAAGAGCAAGAGAAAGACAATTTAAAAAAAATTTAGTTTGACATGATTCACAAGTAATTTTTTTTTTTGGAAAAAACAAAATCTATGTTAAAACAAAATTTTAGGTTAAGCTTCTAAATGCTTAATTATAAAAAAGGATTATTGTTATAAAAATCAAATTTGACTCAATTTCACTCAGTTTCTAATTATCCCACACCATAAAGTTTTTTATTTACATGTCACAATGCAAACAATGCTCCCAATAATACAGTAAAAATTTTTATAACATTTTATTAAAATTTCACATTAACAAATTTTCTTTTTAAAGAAATGATATTTTTTTTAGTTCACAATATTTTTGTTAATTTCTTCCTAAAAAAAATTTTTTCTTGGTTTAGTCCTGCAGTTTAAATGATTTGCATAAATATAACATACAAAATATAAAATTTTACATTTATTCACATTTACAGTCTTTCCCAAGATGTAATTTTCACATCTGAAATAATGTTTTATAATGCCTCATTAATTAACATTATTTTTAATCATATTATTTCCTATAATGTTATGTTATTATGTTCAAAATTTTTTGTTTTGTACTTCAGCATATTTTTCCTATTGGACCTTGCATAAAATATTAAATTGACAGAATATATCCCGATTTAATTTTCCTTTTGTTGTCATCCTTGAATTTTTTGGTTAAATTCATTACCTCCAATAAGCATGGAACAGAAACACTTGTCACTAAAAATTTTGTCAGAATGTGTACTGTGTCTTCAAACCCTATTTCACCTGGCTTTTTTTTACAAAAATAAAATTGCAGTACTTTTTTCACTTCTCGTGGAGCTAGTTTTCTAAACAACATTTTTTTTTCTTCTTCCAGCCACTGCATTCCTGACTAAATATTTCTTCATGTCTCCGAAAATATGTTTAAAAAATAAAATCATCAGGATTGTAATACAAATTCTGATACAGTTTTTAATACATGTCTGGTGTAAGAGACTTTTTTTTTTATTCTTCAAAAAAATTATCCAACAACTGTTGTTGTTTTTTGTAACTTTAGCAAATATTGGGTATTTTGTTGTTTTCAATTTCAACTATTGAAGCCAAAATTTTTTCTATATCTGCCCAAAATTTTTTTTTAAAACAGGTTTGAAATTTTGTAACTCCTTTTGTTATATTAAATGAATTTCTGTAAATTGGTCACCCATGTGTTATAACTTGAGTTATAATTGCTGATTTATTAAGAAAACTGTGCTTGAGTTCATTTCAAACTTTCACTGTCAACTATTATAACACCAATTATAATGTTGCGATTTTATTTAATTATTGTATTCATGTTTCCTTGTCACCAATTATTATAACTTCCTTTTAAACCTTTTATTGTTAATGACATAAAAACGTTTAAAAAAATATAACATAAAAATTAAATATTCTCTATACATAATACTTAGGCTATTGCCATATGCCTGTATAATTAGTATGAAGACTGATTCCAATATGATTACTACTAACCTCATACCATGGAACTTTTATTAAATATTGGATAAGTATAGAGTCAATAATCAAGAATGTACTTTTCGTATTATAACAGATATTTTTAAAAAAAAAACCCAATAAAAGTTACAATTATTTCTAAAATGAATACAGAAATTTCATGCTTTCTAAAAGAAATGCAAAAATTCCATATTTTCTCAAAGAAATGAAGTTACAATTCTTTCTAAAAGAAATGCAAAAATTCCATATTTTCTCAAAGAAATGAAGTTACAATTCTTTCTAAAAGAAATGCAGAAATTTCATATTATCTCAACTAAATGCTGAAGTTACATACTTTCTAAAAAATGCAAAAATTACCTTTTTTTTTAAAAGAATTGCAAAAAATTTAAAAAAAGAAAAGAAATGCAGAAATTCAATATTTCTATATTTTGCAAAATTCCATATTTTTTTAAAATAAATGGAGAAGTTACATACTTTCTAAAAGAAATGCTGAAATTCTAAAAGAAATGCAAAAATTCTATACTTTCTAAAAGAAATATAGAAGTTACATTCTAAAAGAAATGCAGAATTTACATACTTTCTAAAAGAAATGCAGAATTTGCCATACTTTCTAAAATGAATGCAAAAGTTACATACTTTCCGAGGACCCAGGCCTGGGCAAAATGACAAACTCTCACGGCTGCTTTTTATTATAGATTCAACTGACTGAAAAATAAAAAAATAAAAAAAACAAATATTCATAAGCCAATTTTTATTTATTCTGCTAACATAAAAATTTCAGTCAAATATTCATGTCTGTTGTGTTTTAATCATCTATTTCTTAAGTAATATTAATAAATGAATGAAACAGTAGGCAAAGAGTCTATGCATGCAAAACATGAACTGTATAATAATTTTTGTGCAATATCAAATTAATTATTGATAATTTTCACTATCCCAGTGATGTGCAGAGGTTTAGAACATGCCCAGGGCCAAAAACTCAAGTAGGCAGGCCTATAGGGGTTAGTAATGAGAAATGTGAGAAAAGAAGAAACATGAAATAAACACTTTATTTGAATGAAATATAAACTAAATTTTTATTTCACTCTTTGATTGAATGTCCTCCTGATATAGATGCCCGGGGGCTGTCACACCCTCTGCCTACCCCTTTGTATTATTTTTGTATTTCCCATTCTTTCTTTTCTTAGAATAAATTGTAGACAAGCGATATTATTTAAGAAGTGTAAGAAAGAGAAAGCTCCTGTTTGCTTAGCAAGAAAAAAAAGGAGTGAATTAATTGCTTTTCTGTTCTCTTCCCTTTCATCAGGAAGCACGAAAGAAAAAAGGCAAAGAAAAGCAGAATTTTTGCTGCTTGCCTTCCAGCCATATTAAACTGTATTATTGCTCTCAAAATATTTCTGAATGTTGTTGTTTTTATTTTTATTTTTTTTTTTTATAAGATCAAAGACTTGCTTATACATAGAGTTGGACAGATTTTTTTTTGAGAAATTTTATTTAAACTCAATTTGGAAAACGAAATTTTTATTTCACTGATTCTGGTTTATTTTGTATGATTATTCAATACAGCAGAGTATACAGAACATCTGGCAACCATAATGTCACATCAAAAGTTTTGTTTTGTTTTACTACTCTTTAAAAAGATTTAACCCATGGAAAGTATTCTTTATCTCTTCTTAAGGCTGAATTCAGTCATGTTACCATTGTTCATTGTTTTCTTGACCAGTTCACACTTGGAGTGTAAAGGAGCAACTGGCAAAGTTTATTTTTTGTAATTAAAAAGGTAAAGTTTTCATCCATTTATCCATTCCAATGCTTTAAAATTTAATCTTAAATATTTAAAATCTATTTTTAAAAAGTTACACAAAAAAGTAAACTGGCAACTCTGTTTTTTGGAGTCTGTCTATATTTCTGAGATGAGGTATTATGTACAGTATTTACATTAGTCGGACTATTGTCCTCTCATATTTGTCGCCATATTTGTCACAATTCTTTCAGCCATTTTTTATGTATCCGGCCTTCATCAGGTGGATTTGGAATTTTTGAACCCTTTATTTTTTTACAGTCATTTATAGACTGTTCTAGTTCCATTGTATCATATTTGATGGATGTCAGTTATTTGGCAATATTTGCTAATTTTCCCTCTGAAAATTAAAATCTCCATTTTTGCCTTAATTGACCAGGTTTGAACTCACCTTTATGAACCATCTGACATTCCTTTTACACCAATGCAGAGACCTGTAAATCATCCCTTCAGGCTTGGCACCAGAGAGCTCATTCGTCTAATTATTAGAAAAAGCGGGACATTTTCCCTTGTCCAAAGAGAATCCAGTCAATCCTGTTGGATGAAAAATTCGACTATTTGCTCATATCTCCCAGATGCTCAAAATTTTCTTCAACAGAATTACCAATGAAGAAGACCAGAATTAGGATCCAAAATGACTTGGATAAATCCTTCAGACATGAATTTGATGTAGTCAAGGCTTTATAAGTTAACAAAAATTAAATAGATTGAAAGATCAGAAGGTGACGCATAAGGTCCATCACCCACCAGTGAAAGCAGTAATCAACATCAGCCAATATCAGCTGAGTGCCTCTGAGGAGTCAGTGTTGAATAAAAAACAACTTTTAACAACCATCAGGCAGGTGCCATGCTTGGACATCATTGCCAGAGTAGAGGAGGTGGCCTTGAATATCCCTCAGGCTCAGGCGGATGAAATGAGATGGAAAGTGAGACAGGCCTTGGATTCCAAGCTGCTCCAGGTCTAACATAACAAAACTGGAGAGACTGGTGATTGAATCACTACAGAGGAACGAAAACATCATCATACTACCAGCTGACAAAGGTAATGCAACTGTAGTGATGGACAAATCGGATTATACAAAGAAAACTGGAAGACCTCATTAGCAATGGTAGCTACAGCATAGTGAAGAAAGGATCCTACTATGAAAACGAATAAAACTGTCACAGATCCTAATCAAGAACAAGGATCACTTCACACCCAAGACGATAGGCAGTTATTGAGTTTTAAATAAAGTTACCTCACATATACAGTCTCCCTAAGATTCACAAAAACGGTATTCCACTCAGGCTGATTGTTAGTTGCCAAGGCTCTGTGTGCCACCCTCTGAGTCACTTCCTTGTAGATATAATTAACCCATTGATCGGAAAGTCTCCTTCATATGTCTCAAACTCCGCCCACTTTGTGGAAATAATCAAAGATACTCTCATTCTATCCAACTAGATGGTGAGCTTGGACGTGGTGAGTTTGTTCACCAAGGTACCCATGGAGGAGGCACTCTCAGTAGTCAGAGACAGATTGGCCTCTGACTCGTCCCTAGAAGAACAGACCAGTATTCCAATAGATAATCTGATGGAGATGTTGACTTTCTGTACACAAAAAACACACTTCAGAATGGGATCACACATATATCGACAGGATGAGGGCTTAGCAATGTGCTCGCCATTATCACCAGCAACGGCGAATATATACATGGAATACTTTGAAGAAATGGCATTAGAGTCTATATCACTAAAACCAACTATATGGTTAAGGTATGTAGATGACACCTTCATACTCTGGCCACATCAGGAAGATGTCCAGGTTCTACTGGACCATGTGAACTCAATAAGACCTTCGATACAGTTCACAATGAAGAAAGAGAGTAACAACTCACTCCCATTCCTGGATGTTCTAATATCTTGGACAGAGCATGGGTTCAAGACATCTGTATACCGTAAACCAACATTCACCGGACAGTACCTCAATTTCGACTCCCACCATCCATACAGCGTAAAGAAAGGGATCGTCTGATGCTTACAACACCGAGCAAAAGTCATAGTGGCGATCCAGAGACGTTAGATAAAGAATTGGTCAGTATAAGTAGTACCCTACAACGTAACAACTACCCTGGGTACATGGCAGCAGCCCCAAAAAACTGGGATAGGCAGGTACAAGAGGAGGAGGAGGAGGACAACAACACTCAGAAAACAGTCTGCCTGCCTTATGTGAAGGGGTTATCAGAGAAAATACAAAGGATCTGCGGTCCATATAACATCAGGACAACCTTCAAAAGCTGGACAACACTTCGCAGATATCTCTCCCGAGTAAGAGACCCCCAGAGAGAGAAACATGACTAAAGACTGTGTGTACGCTATCCCGTGCAGCTGCGGAAAGGAATATAAAGGAGAGACAGGCCGCCCCCTCAAGGTAAGGCTTCAAGAACACCAGAAAGCTGTAACATGAGGGGAAGTAGAAAAATCAGGCGTGGCTGACCACATATGGAGAGAAAGGGAGATCACCGCCCTGTGGGATCATGTTGAGATCATAGACAAAGAACACCATTGGAAAATTCATAAACTTAAGGAATCAGCACATATGCTAGGCCACAAAAATCTCCTGAGCCGACCAAGCATAGAAATAAATACAATATGGGAACCAGTAATAAGGAGTGCCAGAGAAAAGCAATGATAACAAAGTTGCAATATGAACTCTGGTAAAGACATGCAATGATAACAGCAAAATTGCAATATGAGCACTGGTGAAAATGATGCTGAAAACATTAGGTTTATAATACTCAGAAGTTCATACCCAGATGTCCTCAAGGACACATGGCACAGTGGATAAAGGCGTTGGTTAGATCCAGTGACAGACCCAAAGAAGGTGAGTTCAAGAACTCAGAGGGAAAATTAGCAGGAGATAACTGATAACTGACATCCATCAAACGTGGAACCAGTGATCGAAATAAAGGGTTCAGTTCGAAATTCCAACCACCTGAAGAAGGCCGAAACGTTATGACAAATATGGCGACAAAGATGAGGACATTAGTCCAACTAATGTAAATACTGAACACAATTTTTTGTTAGAATTTTAAAAAAAAAAAACTTGTAACATTTTTCAATCACCTACAAAATGGCAAAAAAGTCAATTAGATCAGTTCCCTCTCTCATTTCCAAAATTTTTGCAACAAGTATCTTTGAAGAGAAGAATATCTTCATTCCTGAGAGAAACCAAAGCTTGAACTGAAAATCAAAACTAAAGTGTCATCCAAGTACAATGACTGGATGTTCCAATTCTGAACAAATTGTTCTGTTTCTATGTCTGTTTCCCATGCCTGTTCTCTATATAAGAACACAAAGACCCCAACTGGTTACTGCGATTTGAACAATCTGATTACAGTTTTGACAAAACCCCAAAAACTCAGAACCATCTGAATTCTATAATTGCTCTGAAAATCTTTGGCCAACAATGGGCCTGCCATGATGATTGTTACTGGATATGAGAGAAATCTGAGAAAATAATAAAACCTACAAATAATGATATATTTAAAATTTATTTTAAATCAGTTCAATTCTTTTGGCAAATTCATCAATCAATTTGCTATAAAACGTATCAACACCATGTTCTACCTTCATTTTCTTCAAAAGGTCATGGAAATGAAGACTGAATTACTCAATCTGTCTTCTCTTTGAGAACATCTCATAATTATTTACTCATTTTAATGAAGAAAATGATTGCTAACAAAAAGCAAGTATGAATCCACTGAGTCCAAGTACATGCTACCCAACCCAGGGATTGAACCCATAATTACTATGTAGGTTACCCAGACTGATATAAACCTAATGAAGGCCAGAGGATACAATGCCTGAAAAAACAAAGATCAGAACAATAGTCCGCATGTAAATAGTGTAGATAAGCTTTTGTTTT